GTTATAGTAACGGCCCGTTCACACAGCGGCGTGCGTTGACGCTTGCCGGCGGGCGTGTCTGACACTCGACCAACAACCAATCACACGAATCTCCCGCCCCTGACACACAAGCAGCGGTTTGATTGACTAGAGCTTGTACTGGCATATGATTCGATTGGCTGACGCTTCTGCCGAGGCGTCAAAAGTTGAACATTGCTCAACTTTTGCAGCGAGCCACGCCAGCAACGCTCCGCGTCGCTTCCCACGATGCAGTTCGGCTAAAAGTGACGTCACCCCATTCAAAGTGAATAGGCAGAAGCGTTGGAAGCTTCAACGCACGCCGCTGTGTGGACGGGACGTTACTGTGATTTAAATGGGTGCGTTACTGCGTTACATTATGTGATCCAACTGAACCGAATCTCGCTGCGGATGTAATTTATAGGCGAATACAGCGATGTCCTCTCACAGCACCATGGAAAAGTGACAGTAACCAGAGAGGAGTGATGATTGGTTAACGCGAGGTAACATTTCAGGGTAAGCCAATCAGAGACAGAGTTGGGCTGGTCTTGCCTTATGGAGAAAATACACACACGAACACTTGCTAATGCTAACACACACACATACACACGGCAACGCTCACCACCAGCACACACACACACAATGGCAGATACAAGTATCAGCGAGAGCAGCAGCGCATTTGCAACTTGGAAATATAACCACTATTTTCAATTTGTGGGGATAAAGGAAAACAGCAATGCCAATCTCCTGAGCTATACAACTAGTTGCCAAAGACCCCACTGTCTCAACCACCGGTAGTGACCCAGATGGAGCAACACCATCTAAACAGCCAAAAAACGATTTTTTTAAAATCGCCACATGTCACCCAGAGTCAACTAAACAGATTGATTGCCAGGTATGTTGTTGAGGACATGCTGCCCATCGCAACGGTCGAGTCTGTTGCCTTCAGAGAACTAGTCAGCAAAATACCAGTGAAAGCATTTCATTTTCAATTGTATTGTTATTATTTTTAAAGTAAAGTAACGTGTTGCAAGTTACTTTTATAATTTAGTAACTAATAAAGTAACTAGTTACTTTTTTGAGAGCAGTAACTATAACTATTACTAGTTACTTGTTAAAAGTAACTTGCCCAACACTGACTATAACACACTTCTATTGGCTAGCGCTTCAACACATTGTACGTGATAGGCTAAGGGGCGGGACATCTCTAAGCAGTTGACCAATCACAACAGAGCTGGCCAGCTAACCAATCAGAGCAGACTATCTGGCACAATTACATTTGATTTCCTACTCTTTATTCAGTACTGTTGATGTTAGAGTGTGATTAGTAAAGATGTATATATTGACACTTGATTAGACTTGGATTTTAGGTGTCTGTTTTACCCCTTAATGCTAAGTTGACCAATAGGCATTCAGCATGTATTTCATATTTTCCCTTTAAGGGCTGCTTCAATAACTGTCCTTCAAAAAGAATAACACATTGTCTAGGACTTCACTTTAAGAAGAGCATCATTATTGTTGTTGTCTGTAGAAGCCATTTATCAGTGTCACTGTTTCTGCAGATCTTTGACTTCAGTCTGACTGAAGAGGACATGCGAGCCCTGAGAGGACTGGACCGAGGGTGGAGGTCCTGCCTGCTGGAGGAGTGAGTTAATCTCTATGGGCTCAGAACAGTTTCATAATACACACATGCACACAGAAGGATTCACACTTGTATTTCATGATCCGCAAAAGGACTCACACTTGTATTTCCGGATCCACACTTGTGTTTTTCAATGCACACACAAATGTATTCCGTTTCATATACATGTAAATACAATTCAAATACAGAAAAAAGTCTTACATATGTATTTTTGATCCACACATATTTGTTTTCCATTTAAATCCTCTGAACCTGCAAACACAAACCGCTTTCTGTGCACGGATCGCTGTGCATTCGTGTGTGGGTTTTTTGAGACTCCCCTGACGGTCAGCCGATTCGTACTTGTAATTGTTTCTATCTATAGCCAATCAGATGTCTCCTCAATTCTAAGCCAATCACATGAGTGCACCCCCACGAGGGTAGATTTCTTGTGTTCATGACGTAGCGCTTCATGTACGCATTTTGCGCAGTCCGGAGCTGACAGCTCCATGGAGCCTGCCTGCAGGCGCTAATCTCAGGACACCTCCACTCTCAGTACAGCGCCACTTTCTGAACAGGAAATGCACGCAAATACAAGCCTTTATATTATTAAGGCACCGCGCCACTTTCCGAACCATTGATGAATGCTTGTGTACACAAAAACGGCAGGCAAAACCGTTTTAAATGTGTGTTTCCTGTGTGGCGAATACAGCTGCTTTATTTATGTCTGTATGAAGTTGTTGTGAGTGTGGAGGGAGCAGCTACAGGTTAGCTTAGCCTAATCGATCAGTGCACTACGAAGCCAGTGCTAGACAGTGACCTGTTAACGGGGGGGAGCCCCGCCGGTCATTATCGGCCGATATTCACTCTTAATAGTTTGATCGGTGCTCTCTATAAAGGCCGATCAGGAGAGCTGGATCTGATCGATATGGACATAAACGCGAGTGAAGTGTAACCGGACGCGAGAGAGAGATCAGATCAGCTGCTGAGTCTGACGGAGACACGCAGCTCTGCATGATCACCTGATGCTCCGCCCTCTGTTTAGCGAGCTGACCGGACAGCGCAAAATGCGTACATGAAGCGCTACGTCATGAATGCAAGAAATCATACCCTCGTGGGGGCGCGCTCATGTGATTGGCTTAGAATGAAGGAGACATCTGATTGGCTATAGATAGAAAAAATTACAAGTACGAATCGGGTGAGCATCAGGGGAGTCTCAAAAAACCCACACACGAATGCACAGCGATCTGTGCACAGAAAGCTGTTTGTGTTTGCTGGTGCAGAGGTTTTAAATGGAAAACAAATATGTGAGGATCAAAAATACATATGTAAGACTTTTTTCTGTAATTGTATTTTATTTACATGTATATGAAACGGAACATATTTGTGTGTGCATTGAAAAACACAAGTGTGGATCCGGAAATACAAGTGTGAATCCTTCTGTGTGCATGTGTGTATTATGAGACTGTTCTGAGCCCATACATCACAGCCATGTTGTTCTGAGTGAGCAGCTCCTGACACACTGATGATGTTGTTCTGTTTCAGAGTCAAGTCTCACCCGTACTACCCCTTCGTATGAAGCTGCCAGAGGATGAGTGGAGAGGAGGCGGCACACTGCACCTACTGACACGTCAACAAGACCTCAGACAGCCTCACACTGCCATTCAGTGTGCCTTACTCCACAAGAATAATCATATAGTAGTGTAGTGGCCAGCATAGTGAACCCGGAAATGTTGAGTACCCCAAAGTTCTATGTTAGAAATGTATAGTTGGGTCCCCTGAAGATAGAAACTGTTTGCACAATAAGCATCAGTATCATGATTAGCATTAATGGCATTATAGCTCACTGTATTTAGACAACAGCCGATTTAGACAATTTTTGAGTGGTTTTGGATGCAGGATGCAGGTTTAACCAAAACGTGTCCATATCTGTCGTCCCGGGTTGACTACCATGAGCCATTGGATATAGACAGCACAATATAAAAATGTGAAGAAACCTCGGGGAGAGCAACAGAGGAGGATCCCTCTCCCAGGACGGACAGACGTGCAGTGTCGTGTAAATTGAAAAGATAATACATTTGCAACATAGGTAGCCCAAATGCTTGAAAATGCATGTGTCTATAAAAAAGGATATGAAACCAGGTGGATGTCAATAATTCTGTGGGAGCCATCAGAGAAGTAGTATGGTGAGAGCAGGCAGGACCACAGAGACAGGTTCATGCAGGACTCATCATTGTATTGCTAATTAATGCAACTTGCTAATTGTACAAATTGCCAAATATATGCAAGTTAGCATCCCATACTAGGGACCCGTACTATACATTTATATCTTAAAACTTTGGGGTTCTGACACATTTCTGGGTTCACTATAGGACTATAAGATGGAAACTCTAATGTGCAGGTGAACACACATTTTAAGAAGATTCGGCTTTCAAATGAGATTGTAATGTATTTAACCAACACTTATCAGTGCTCTGATAAGCTTTTACAAGTGATTTGTTTTATAATGTTCCATGTTTTGAATAAAATACTTTGCCTTTACAGTCACATTTCTTTCAAATGGCAGGCAATTTGACAGGTTAAGACAGACAAATGCACAGTCAAACAAATAATTGACACAAACTTTACAAATACTGCACAGATTATATTTTATTACATACACTGTGTGTTTACAATGTTCTGCACAGCAGTCTGACCTTGGCGGTGGAGTGAGTTATGATTGACTACCTGATACCATATCTGACCTCTGAACAGTGTTACGGTGTGTCCAGACAGCAGCTTTGACCAAATCTTGAAAATCCTGGAGCTGGGCGTGTCTGACAGCTTGGGGATTTCGCGACCAACAACCAATCACATGAATATCACATGAATATCCCGCCCCCGACATACAAAGCAAAAAAACCCGGTTCTTCTACACTATTGTCAAATAGGAAGGGCTATGATGAACATTTATTTTTTTAACATTTTGAACATTTATGAGATTAATGTTTATGGTGCTATTTTATGCTACATTCCATGCTGGCTAATGATACTGTCTATGCTTGCTAGCAACGAAGTAAACTAGCAACGAAGTAAACTGGATATAAAATCCCCAAACAAGCGAAAACCTACCAGTTTCACCCACTGCCTCTGCCACCTCCCTCCATGCCTGGTTCCTCCGGTTTGTATCCCGGTAAGTAAATAGGGACTGGTCATAAAGAACCGGGTGATTTGCTACCGCAATAACTAAGTTCTCCTCCATTTTTGTGGAATATAGAAATGAACTGCGGGTCTCGTTCTCCCAGCTTGCACGCGGTTTGATTGGCTAGCACTTGAACTGTCAGATTTGCATAAACGGATCTGATTGGCTGTCGCTTCCAGCTCAGCCTCAAAAGTTGAACATTGTTCAACTTTGAAATCCTGAACATCCTGGAAATCCTGGAAATCTTCACCTCGCCCCCCCACAATGCAATTCGGCGACAAGCGAGGGAAAGTGACGTCATCCCCATTCAAAGTCAATGGGCGGAGACGCGCTGGAAGCGGTGGACAAATCGCCAAAAGCTGCTGTGTGGACGGGCCGTGAAGGCTCAGACACACAGTACTTTGCTCAGGTCTTGTAGGAGAAGTTGCAGAAATGAAAGCAGCCATGGGAACTATTATTGCCAGTTTTCTCTCTCTCTGCGGCGCTGCGGTGCTCATGGCGGAAACAACTGTTGTTACCCATGTAGGGGACATAACAAAAAATATATCTTCTAATAACCCTCCTGTCATGTTCGGGTCAAATCTACTACTTTCATCAATCATAAATATTGTGTTTTACATTTGATTGCTTCAAGGCCTTATGATGTCCTCCACTAGGCATTTGCACATATCAAATTGCTGATCACCACTTTCATTGAATGTTGAGTGGTTTAGTCCACTTTGTAAGACCTATGGTGAAATGAATGGGTAACCCTACAGTATGTTCATCCATCAGAGGAACAGCCACATATCGACAAACATGTTAATGTTGGAACACATTTTCAGTGTCTATTCTTTGTATATTCACTGCAGTAATTCATGAAAACCAGTAGCCTGAGACAGTGTTTACAGCTGAAAAGGGTGTTAAATAAAATGTGGTGATGATTAATGGGGTTTGTGTTAACACCAAAGTAAGGGGGGTGAAACAAACACGACAGGAGGGGTAAACATGTGTGAATAAGGATCTGTCTCAGCCAAACAGTCTAGTAGCCAGCACCTGGAAATGTTGATTTCACCAAAGTGTTATGATAGAAATGTATAGTAGGGTCCCCAGCACATATGCTGGATGCTAACCTGCATGTTGGCAATTTGCACAATTAGCATCAGTAGTGATAATAAAATGGTTGGGTCGATTTGGACAGTTTTGGAGTGGTTATGGGGGTTATTGAGGATGCTGAATACATTTCTGACAGTTTTAGGATACAAAATGGCAGTTTAAACCAGAAAGTGGCCATATTCTTTCTCTTTGTGTTTTGATTTTGACTACCATGAGTAGTGTTACGACCATTGGATATAGAGAGCACAAATATGTCCACATTTTTTTTGGAAGTTAGCATCCGGCAGTTTCTACTTGCTGGGGACTTGTACTATACATTTCTAACATAATACTTTGGGGTACTCAACATTTCCGTGTTCTCGATAGGACTCTATGAGGTCCGGCCTTGTATAAGATAGTCCTTCACTGTTGTCACGTGGGGGGTAATGCTCCTTTCCCCTTCTTCTTCTCCCCCGGAGAGGTTGGGGGGGGGGGAGGGCTTCACAATGCACACACATGCCGAGGCTCCTGCGACACATTTAGGCAGGTCGGGGCCTCTGGTCCACGAGTCCTTGTCAGGGTCGTACACCTGCGTGGCTCTGGAGAACACTATGCTCTCCCAGCTGTAGCCCCCCAGCACGTAGATCCTTCCCGCCCACACGGACACCCCCGCCTCGCTGTTGGGCAGCAGCAGCGGAGCCAGGCGGGTCCACTGCCCGCTGCCGGGGTCGTAGGACTCCACCCTCAGGATGTCGAAGCGCTCCGTGGTGTCCTCATCGTCGTCGCTGCCCCCCAGGACGTAGATGAGGTGTTTGAGGGAGGCCATGCAGTGCCAGCCCCGCGCCAGAGTCATGGCCGGCCGCTCCGTCCACACCTCGCTGTCCCGGGACGGCTCATAGCTCAGGACCTGTCTGCGGTACGGGCCGATCTGAAAGTCGTGACCTCCTGAGATGTAGACCACTCCTCTGTGGACCGTCCCCGCGTGGCCGTAGGTGAGCCTAGACCAGGCACAATTGAAAAAGCCAAATGTAGCACCGTTACAAAAATTAATAGCAAAAATCTACTGGATTTATGGTTAAAAAAACTGACAAACAATAAATATGCACTCAAGAAATATAATGGCAAAGACTTAATGTTTACAGCCACACTAAGCTAAGCCTGACAGGAAGTCCATCTTGGGGGTTTGGAACTATCCTGTCAAAGCAGCACTTGTGGGACGCTTCACCCAAAAATAAATCATTTGTATGTTAGTAACGTACCCGGTGATACATTAATTTCTTGAACAAAACATCTCACATGCCTCCACACTGCAAAAAGAATACAAACATTTATAAAAGTCTTTATACATTAAAGTTAATGTGATTAACGTTTAACAACAGCAAACTTTATCAAAACATCCGTTCGTGATCGTTCACACAACTCCTGAAGTCAAAGACAAAGTCTCTTTTATCGTATGCTTTACTAACACATGCATCTTCAGTAAAACACTACTTATTAATACACTGTCTCATAAACAGTACTGGCATATCCAGGTAGCAAGTTAGAACACTTTTAGGGAAGTGCTTTAAACATTAAGTTATTAACAGGAGTGAATGTGATTGGAAAGAAGTGCTGATATGAGTGGATGAATTGTGTTGTTGTGATGTTAAATGTATAGCCCCAAATGACAATGTGGAGCATTTGATAAAAACTCTCCTTCAAGAATATTAGGTAACACAGGTAGGCCAGTTGTTAGGAATTATGGATGGGGGGGCAACATTTCCAAATTGGTTCTCTCATCCAAGGCTCCAGACTGTTGTCACATTCCAAAGTTCGTGTAAATTGTCATTTATAGCGTATCTCCACAACAGAACTCACAATTGAAGGTTTTGGGAAACAAATGATTGTATTTTGTGAAAAGCCACAATTCCCTCTATAAATTATATTTTTAACAACGGTATTTTGTTAAAAAAAAATATCATACATGGATTCATTATTTCCTATATTCCCTACTGCCACATAATTCTAGAAAACACAGACACACACCATGTGAGCCTACCTGGGCAGTGGAGCCACGTAGGACCAGCAGTCCTGGGCGGGACAGTACACCTCCACAGAGGACAAGGCTCCAGAGTCATTCCTCCCCCCCACAGCGATCAGGCTCTCTCCCACCGCCTCCAGGTAGAAGTCCACCCGCCGTTCATTCATTGGAGCTCCCTGGAAAAGCATCACAGCGTCACTGAGTCTGAGCACCAGCAAACAGGAAGTGAGAAACAAAGGGTGGGGGGGGTCCTCTTTTACCCTTCTCACATTAAACTGAAATGTTTTTGTGCTAGTGTTAAAAAAATCTAAATAATTTTGTGTTTGAAACCAAACAGTATTTGATAGAGAATGGGGGGGCTCCTGGAACAGTACCTGGGACCACTGGTTGTGGCGGGGGTCGTATCTGTGGAGCAGGTTACAGGCAGCGTCCCCCCCGCTGTCCCTGGACGAGCTGCCCCCAGCAGTGAAGATGAAGCCCCCCAGCACGGCCAGGCAGTGGTGGCTCCGCTGGGCCGGCAGCTCTGTCTCCACCGACCAGCTTCCTGTTTCAGCGTCCAGCCGGCACACGTTGGCGCTCAGCTCCTCCCCCCGCTCCGACACCTGCAGCAGGGACGGGACGGGGTACAGGTGGAGTTATTAAAGAGAAAATAGGTGTAGCTGAGCACAGCCTGCTGCTTGAAATCTTATTTTCTTTATTGTTCAAAAATAATTCCAGGACAAAACTTAAGACTTACATTTATTTTGAATATTTTTCCAAATCAATTCAGGAATTTAAGTCTTTAGTCAGTCAAGCCCAAATCAAGTCAGATGTTTTTATTTTACCAACTGCTTTGTCGTCCTTGGGATTATGAAAGGCGCTATATAAATGTATTATTATTATTATTAGATCTGACTCAGGATTCTTTAGAGTTGAGAACAAACATTTTATAAACGTACAAAATAAGAATAATACAAAAATAGCGATGATCTGTTGATCTGTGATTCCGATCGTGCATTAGTCCTTGATGATATTGTTGATCAGAAACGCATGTTTCTTTTGGTCCTCTCTCTGTGATTAAAGCTCTGGGCGAGTTTTTGTCACATGTTTATGAAAACTAGTACTTCCAAGGCACTCCTTTATATGATTATTAGATATGTGTGACGGTCGTTGCCTCCCCGGTCCTGTTGATTCTGTTTTGCTGTTCCATATGTAAATGAGCTGTGTAGTTGCCCCAATGTTATTGGCTACCATTTCCTGCTCCGCCTCCGAAGACACTGATTGGAGCACGCCGGGCCCGACGCGCTCCAATCCCCGTGCAATCCCAGCGCACACTTTCCGGAGATGACTACAAAGCCTGGGGACACCTATTAGAGATGGCAAATCCGGATCCTTTTACGGACTCAGGGTCTTCTGAGTCAGTCATTGAAGAGATCCGGATCATACGAGTCATTTGAGTCATATGAGTCAGCATCACCAAGAGCGTAGAAATCCTATCGGTGAAACCGAAAACTTGTTGCATTTCACGAGCATATTAAACTGACGTTACATTAACCTCCGCTACAGTGTCTTTTGCTTTAATAAAAAATGTTGATAAAAAAAAGGGTTATTTTGCGATTTGGCGAATCTGAGTCTGCTGTTGACTCGTGCATGACGACGAGTCTGCTGGATCTCTGGATCTGCTGCTATACGGTTACGGCTCTGAGTCCGCACGAGTCTGCTGTGTTTTGCACAGCGAGTCAGGATTTGCGAATCTGAGTCTGTGAAGTTCCGCTGACTAACTCGTAGGCTACTGGTCTCTCAATCATTGTCCTGGATTCACGGATCCCGCGATTTTGATTAAGTCCATTATGTTTCCGGCTCTAAATGAAGTTTCAGTGTAGACTTCTAACAACATTGTCATGGTGTGCAACAGTGTCCTGCGTGTAATAGCTGCATTTCCAATAAGGATCTTACTTGGCAAAACGTTTATTTTGAACATAGCACACAAAAAGAAACAAACAATGACAAATGATATAAAATTGCAAAACAGTTAGAATATATAAAATGTCTTAATTATACAATTATTATTATTAAATTAAAACACAATTGTGCAAAATTTGCTTTAGTAAAGGAACATATTAAAATAACTATATACATATAATGCAAAACACAGTGAGTCAGGATTTGCGAATCTCTGAGTCTGCTGTTGACTCATGAATGACGACGAGTCTGCTGGATCTCTGGATCTGCTGCTATAATGTTACGGCTCTGAGTGCGCACGAGTCTGCTGTGTTTTGCACAGTGAGTCAGGATTTGCGAATCTCTGAGTCTGCTGTTGACTCGTGCATAATATAGCCGCGGGAGCTGGAGGAGGGGCTGCAACATGTTACTGTTAATCTCTCCCCACTTTTGGCCACACCCGGCCGCGGCTATGCTCGTGCACATGACGAGTTTGGATCTCTGGATCTGCTATGCTATTACGGTTAGGAGCCGTAACTTACGGCTCCTCTGAGTCCCCACGAGTCTGCAGGAAGTTTCACTGATCCGCATCCCCTCCCCTGAGCCAAATGATAACTTCTGGAAGCTATCCTACTTGCTAAAGGCTAGGCAGATGGACTGGGGTACGTTGTAATGTTATTTTACATGTTATAAGGAGAGTAGCGAGTGACGCAATTTATAGTTATAGTACGTCACACCAGGTGTAGGACTCAAAGGACTCGGGTTAATGGAGAGGGGAGACTCGTCACGACCAGCTCATTTCTAGGATCCGGGTTAATGATCCGGATGAATCAGGACTCGCCCATCTCTAACACCTATCACTCGGGAGGCTCTGCTGCAATCAGACGCCTCACGCATTTTTGCTCTTGTGTCGTGGACACTTTAGACTTAAGCTATTAGACTGTGTTTGACTTGTGTGGTCCATGTTTAGTGTAGTGTGTTTGGTGTGATTATACAGTGGGGCAAAAAAGTATTTATGGCCAAGACCAAAGAGCTGTCAAAGGACACCAGAAACAAAATTGTAGACCTGCACCAGGCTGGGAAGACTGAATCTGCAATAGGTAAGCAGCTTGGTGTGAAGAAATCAACTGTGGGAGCAATTATTAGAAAATGGAAGACATACAAGACCACTGATAATCTCCCTCGATCTGGGGCTCCACGCAAGATCTCAGCCCGTGGGGTCAAAATGATCACAAGAACGGTGAGCAAAAATCCCAGAACCACAAGGGGGGACCTAGTCAATGACCTGCAGAGAGCTGGGGCCAAAGTAACAAAGGCTACCATCAGTAACACACTAGGCCGCCAGGGACTCAAATCCTGCAGTGCCAGACGTGTCCCCCTGCTTAAGCCAGTACATGTCCAGGCCCGTCTGAAGTTTGCTAGAGAGCATTTAGATCAGGGGTACTCAAATACAAATCTTAAAGGTCCAAAATAAATGTTTCAATAAGACAAAGGTCCGTTTATTACGGTCATTCAAACTTTTAAACAATTGCAACAAGATTCTTAACACGAGGTTGCAAAAACAAAAATAATCTGTATGCAGCAGTTTTCATTGTTATTGTGTCTGTGCTTGACCCCTCAGAGTCGCAGTGTCAGAGCTGCACAGTTAGGAATAAAGGCAGCTGCACCCTCTTTCATTCAGCATTCCCATTATTGCTTTATAAATGTCTTGCCCCCTTGTGTGTCCACTGAGGTTCGTCAGGCCCAACACATCTTCAACAAACTCCCCCCTTTGCCTCATCATAAAAACTCACAAACACCAGCAACTGAGCATTGTCAGTGGTGTCAGTGGACTCACCCACAGCTAAGGAAATGCACTGTGCATTTTCTATTCCATCACAAAGCTGATGAATCAAATCACCAGCCAGTATTTATGTTCTTCTGGTTGCTGTGGAATCTGAGAGGGGATTTGCTTGATTTGACCTGTTATTTCCTCTTTGTGTTTGCCTTCATCATGGTCGCCATCACTTCAGTCATGCATTCTTTTATACTGCAGTTATTATCCAGTGGAAAGTCCTTACCTACTGGCCTAGTTAAATCAAAGTGGTTACTTTTGTTTGGCTGGGCAGTGTAGTTTTACACACCGTCTTATTTGACTTTCTCAGGACTTAAAACAGTTTTTTGGGGGCAGACCCCCTCAAAGAAAAAAATATATTTACACACGTAAGGTCATCATCTTAATAGTTGTGTATGCTCATCCGTGAGCAGAGCATCAAGTTGACATGTCTATTACAGCTGAATGCGGCGATTACCATTTTGTTCAGCAAAACGCCTCACAAACGTATTAAGATCAACAGCTTTAGTGCGTTTTGATTCCATGCTGAGTACAGCCGAACTGACAGTCTCTTCTCTGTCAGTGTAGACCGCAAATACCTCATTCCTTCAGTGCTTGGGTCCGAATGCTTCTCGTTTTGCGCCGTCCAGTTCAAAATGAAATCGCCGCCAATCGTATGTCCACGCTCGCGCCAGGACCGGGGGAGGGGTTACATGACGTGCATCTTGTGCTGCATTCACTTGCACTCGGACATTAGAGACTTTCTCTCATAAATGTCCGATGAGCCACAACTTTTCTTTCAAAACAAAGCTGCCAACTGGAGTGGCAGCTGGGGTGGCAAGGCCTATTTTTAGGGTGTCAGTTGCCACCCCGGTAGGTGAAACTAGGCTACTAGCTACAGTACAGATGGAACTTGATGAGCTGTTAACTCTCGCTCTGAATTTTTTTTTTTTAAACTCTCGCTCTGACTTAGACAGGTTGAAAGAGACACACACATTTTTCCCACCCGCATTCCGCGAAGACCCGCCCTACTGTGCCTCTGATTCGCAGATTGTTTGGGGGGAAAAAAAGCTGACGGGATGCTGAATGTGATTGGACCAAAGCGTTGACAGACACACACAGACAGTGGAACAGGACATGCAGAGCGCTGTTTGCAGTCTATGGACATAACGGATCATTTTGACTCGTTGCGTTGTGGCGATGTCTCGCAGATAACACAGATAATACAGATAATACATATGAAAAGTATAATTTGCTCAGAGTCCAGAGACAGTTGTGGTTCGGTCCGGATCTGGACCGGAGTCCGGACTTTGAGGATGCCTGATTTAGATGATCCAGAAGAGGATTGGGAGAATGTCATATGGTCAGATGAAACCAAAATAGAACTTTTTGGTAAAAACTCAACTAGACGTGTTTGGAGGAGAAATAATGCTGATTGCATCCAAAGAACACCATACCTACTGTGAAACATGGGGGTGGAAACATCATGCTTTGGGGCTGTTTTTCTGCAAAGGGACCAGGACGACTGATCCGTGTAAAGGAAAGAATGAATGGGGCCATGTATCGTGAGATTTTGAGTGACAACCTCCTTCCATCAGCAAGGGCATTGAAGATGAAACGTGGCTGGGTCTTTTAGCATGACAATGATCCCAAACACACCGCCCGGGCAACGAAGGAGTGGCTTCGTAAGAAGCATTTCAAGGTCCTGGAGTGGCCTAGCCAGTCTCCAGATCTCAACCCCATAGAAAATCTTTGGAGGGAGTTGAAAGTCCGTGTGCCCAGCGACAGCCCCAAAACATCACTGCTCTAGAGGAGATCTGCATGGAGGAATGGGCCAAAAATACCAGCAACAGTGTGGGAAAACCTTGT